GCCCCAGACCCCCCGCGCCCGCCGGCCTCTGTCCAGCCATTGATTCTGAGGCAGGGACATCACTGCCCACCTACCTCTCTTGCAGACTCCTAGTCTGTAGGTCTCCATTACTTTCTGCTTTGGATTTTAAGCTCCTTTATTCTCTTGTTAATTTACTAATCTTCCTCCTCTCAGAGCCTGTTCTGTCCCCAGATGCAGGCCACAGACAGACCCAATGCCAGGCCTCTGGCCAGATAGTTATTCTGAGGCAGAGACATCACTGCCCTCCTACCTCTGTTATGAAACCCCAGGTCTAGCGCCCACCTGATAACCTGTCTTGTCCTCAGCTGAAGGCCACAGACAGATCCAGCAGCAGGCCTCTGGCCAATCAGTGATTATGAGACAGGTACTTCACTGCCTACCTTCCTCTCTTGCAGACCACAGCCCCAGCGCCCACCTGCAACCCACTCTTGTCCCCAGCTGCAAGGCACAGACAGACCCAGTGGCAGGCCTCTGGACAGCCAGTGATTCTGAGGCAAGGACATTATTGCCAACTTAACTCTCCTGCAGACCCCAGTGCCAATGACCACCCGCTAGGTAGGTAGGTCACCATTACTTTCTGCTGTGGATTTTAAGCTCCTTTATTCTGTTGTTAATTTCCTGCTCTTGCTCCTCTCACAGCCTGTCCTGTTTCCGGCTGCAAGTCACTGACAAACCCAGCGCCAGGCCTCCTGCCAGCCAGTGATTCTGAGGCAGGGACATCACTGCCCACCTACCTCTCCTGCAGACCCCAGCCCTAGCGCTCACCCGCTACCCTGTCCTGTCCTGGCTGCAGGCCACAGAGAGACCCAGCAATAGGCCTCTGGTCAGTCATTGATACTGAGGAAGGGACATCACTGCCCAACTACCTCTCCTGCAGACTTCAACCCAATCACCCACCCACTAGCCTGTCCTTTCCCCAGCTACAGGCCACAGACAGACCAGCGTCAGGCCTCTGGCCAGGCAGTAATTCTGAGGCAAGTACATCACTGCTCAGTTTCCTCTCCTGCATACCCCAACACCAGCCCCCACCCAGTAGCCTCTCTTGTCCCCAGCTACAGGCCACAAACAGACCTAGCAGCAGGCCTCTGGACAGCCAGTGATTCTGAGGCAGAGACATCACTGTCCCCCTACCTCTCCAGAATACCTCAGCCCCAATGCCAACCTGCTACCCTGTCCTTTCCCCAGCTTCAGGACACAGACAGACTCAGTGGCAGTCCTCTGGCAAGTCAGTGATTCTGAGGCAGGGACAACACTGGCAGGGACATCACTGCCCCCCTACCTCTCCTGAAGACCACAGCCCCAACGCCAACCCGCTACACTCTCCTTTCCCTAGATGCAGGCCACAGACAGACCCAGCGGCAGGCCTCTGGCCAGCCAGTGATTCTGAGTCAGGGACATCACTGCCCAACTAACTCTCCTTAAGAATCCAGCCCTAGCGCATACCTGCTAGGATCCCCCTTCCCCAGCTGCAGGCCACAGACAGACCTGGCCTGTCCCCAGCTACAGGCAACATACAGACCCAGAGGCCTGTCAGTGATTCTGAGGCAGGGACATCACTGCCCACCTACCTCTCCTGCAGACTCCACCTGAGCGCCCACCTGCTAGGTAAGTAGTTCACCACTATATGCTGCTTTGGAATTTAAGTTCCTTTATTCGTTTGTTAATTTCCTGCTTTTCCTCCTCTCATAGTCTGTCCTGTCCCTGGCTGCAGGCCACAGAGAGACCCAGTGGCAGGCCTCTGGACAGACAGTGATTCCGAGGGAGGGACATCACTGCCCACCTATCTCTCCTGCAGACCCCAGCACCAGCATCCACCCGCTAGGTCTATAATTCAACATTAATTTCTTTGGATTTTAAGCTCCTTTATTATCTTGTTAATTTCCTGGGCTGTCTTTAGATGCAGGCCACATACAGACCCAGCGCCAGGCCTCTGGCCAGCCAGTGATTCTGAGGCAGGGACATCACTGCCCACTTACCTCTCCTGCAGACCCCAGCCTCAGCTCTACCCGCTAGGTAGGTAGGTCACCATTACTTTCTGCTTTGGATTTTAAGCTCATTTATTCTCTTGTTAATTTCCTCGTCTTCCTCCTCTCAAAGCCTGCCCTGTCCCTGGCTGCAGACCACAGACTGACCCAGCGCCAGGCCTGTGGTCATCCAGTGATTTTCAGGCAGGTACATCACTGCACACCTACCTTTCCTGCACACCCCAGCCCTAGTGCCCACCCTCTCAGTAGGTAAGTCACCATTACTTTCTGCTTTGGATTTTAAGCTCCTTTATCCTCTTGTTAATTTCCAGCTCTTCCTCATCTCACAGCCTGTCCTTTCCCTGACTGAAGGCCACAGACAGTCTTTTAATGGCAGCCCTCTGGCCATCCAGTGATTCTGAGGCAAGGATATCAGTGCCCACCTACCTCTCCTGGAGTCCCATTCCCAGTGCCAACCTGCTAGGTTTCTAGGTCACCATTTTTTCAGTGTTTGATTTTTAGCTCCTTTATTCTCTTGTTAATATCCGGCTCTTCCTCCTTTCACAGCCTGTCTTTTCCCAGGCTGCAGGCCACAGATAGACCCAGTGTCAGGCCTCTGGCCAGCCAGTGATTCTGAGGCAGGGACATCACTGCCCACCTAACTCTCCTGCAGACCCCAGTCCTAGCGCACCACTCTAAGTAGGTAGGTCACCATTACTTGCTGCTTTGGATATCTAGCTCCTTTATTTTCTTTTTAATTTCCTGCTCTTCCTCATCTAACAGTCTGTCCTTTCCCTGGCTGCAGGCCACAGACAGGCCCAGCGGCAGGCTTCTGACCAGGCAAAGTTTCTGAGACGGGTCCATCATCGATCTACTACCTCTCTGAAGATCCCAGCCCCAACGCCAACCTGCTACCCTGTCCTTTCCATGGATGCAGGCCACAGACAGACACAGCAGCAGGCCTCTGGCCAACCAGTGATTCTGAGGCAGGGACATCACTGTCCACCAACCTCTCCTGCAGATCCCAGTTCCAGTGCCCACCCGCTAATTAGGTTGGTCACCTTTACTTTCTGCTTTGGGTTTTATGCTCCTTTATTCTCTTGTTAATTTCCTCATCTTCCTCCTCTCACAGACTGTCCTATCCATGGCTGCAGGCCACAGACAGATTCAGCAGCATGCCTCTGGCAAGCCAGTGACTCTGAGGCAGGGACATCTCTGCCCACCTTCTTCTCCTGAAGTATCCAGCACCCACCTTCTAGCCTGCTTTGTGCCTGGCTGCATGCCACAGACAGACCTGGCCATGGGCCTCTTGCCAACCTGTGATTCTGAGGCAGGGACATCACTGACCACCTACTTCTCCTGCAGACCCCAGCCCTAGAGCCAACCCGCTAGGTAGGTAGGTCACCATTACTTTCTGGTTTGGATTTTAAGCACCTTATTCTCTTGTTAATTTGAAGCTCTTCATCCTCTCACAGCCTGTTCTGTCCCCAGATGCAGGACACAGACAGACCCAACTCCAGGCCTCTGGCCAGCCAGTGATTCTGAGACAGGGACATCACTGCCCCCCTACGTCTCCTGAAGACGCCAGCCCCAACTCCAACCTGCTTCCCTGTCCTTTTCCTGGGTGCAGGCCACAAACTGACCCAGCAGCAGGCTTCTGGCCAGCCAGTGATTCAGAGGCAGGGACATCACTGTCCACCCACCTCTCCTACAGATCCCAGCTTCAGCGCCCACCCGCTAGGTAGGTCTGTCACCATTACTTTCTGCTTTGGGTTTTAAGCTCCTTTATTCTCTTTTTAATTTCCTGATCTTTCTCCTCTCAGACTATCCTGTCCCTGGCTTCAGGACACAGACAGATTCAGCAGCATGCCTCTGGCCAGCCAGTGATTCTGAAGCAGGGACATCTTTGACCACCCACCTCTCCTGAAGAATCCAGCCCAGGGTCCACCTGCGAGCCTGCCCGTCCCCGGCTGAAAGCCACAGACAGACCTAGCCGCTGGCCTCTGGCCACCAGTGATTCTGAGGCAGGGACATCACTGCCCACCTACCTCTCCTGCTTCCCCAGCCCCAGCTCCACCAGTTAGGTAGGTAGTTCGCCATTACTTTCTGCTTTAGATTTTAAGCTCCTTTATTCTGTTGTTAATTATCTGCACTTCCTTCTTCACAGCCTCTCCTGTCTCCAGCTGCAGGCCACCGACTGACCCAGTGGCAGGCTTCTGGCCAGCCAGTGATTCTGAGGCAGAGACATCACTGCCCACCTACCTCTTCTGCAGACCCCACCCCCAGCGCCCACTCACTAGGTAGGTAGGTCACAATTACTTTCTGCTTTGCATTTTAAGCTCCTTTATTCTCTTGTTAATTTCCTGCTTTTCCTCCTCTCATAGCCTGTCCTGTCCCCAGATGCAAGCCACATACAGACCTAGCGCCAGGCCTCTGGCCAGCCAGTGATTCTGAGGCAGGGACATCACTGCCTACCTACCTCTCCTGCAGACACCAGCCCCAGCTCCACCTGCTAGGAAGGTAGTTCACCATTACTTTCCCCTTTAGATTTTAACTTCCTTTATTCTCTTGTTAATTTCCTGCACTTCCTCCTCTCACAGCCTGTCCTGTCCCCAGCTGCAGGCCACAGACAGACCAAGCAGCAGGACTCTGGCCAGCCAGTGATTCTGAGGCAGAGACATCACTGCCCACCTACATCTCCTGCAGACACCAGTCTCTGGGCCCACACACTAGGTATGTACATCACCATTACTTTCTCCTTTGGATTTTAAGCTCCTTTATTCTCTTGTTAATATCTTGCTCTTCCTCTTCTCACAGCCTGTACTGTCCCCAGTTGCAGGCCACAGACAGACCCAGCACCAGGCCTATGGCCAGCCAGTGATTCTGAGGCAGGGACATCACTGCCTACCTACCTATCCTGCAGACCCCAGCCAGGCACCCACCCTCTAGGTAAATAGGCCACCATTACTTTCGTCTTTGGATTTTAACCTCCTTTATTTTCTTATTAATTTCCTCATCTTCCTCCTCTCACAGCCTGTCCTGTCCCAGGCTGCCAACCAAAAACAGATCCAGCAGCAGGCCTCTGGCCGGTCAGTGATTCTGAAGCAGGGACATCCCTGCCCACATAGCTCTCCAGCAGACAAGGGCCCCAGCACTAATCTGCTAGGTAAGTAGGTCACTATTAATTTCAGCATTGGATTTTAAGCTCCTTTATTGTCTTGTTAATTTCCTACTCTTCCTCCTCTCACAGCCTGTCCTGTTTCCAGCTACAGGCCACTGAAAGAACCAGCACCAGGCCTCCTGCTAGGTAGGAGCAGCAGGCCTCTGGCCAGCCAGTGATTCTGAGGCATTGACTTCACTGTCCACCTACCTCTCCTTCAGACCACAGCCCTGCGACCAATCACTAGCCTGTCCTGTCAAGGGCTGCAGGACACAGACAAAATCATAGGCTGGCCTCTGGCCAGTAAGTGATTCTGAGGCAGGGACATCACTGCCCACCTACCTCTCCTACAGACTCCAGCCCTAGCACCCACCTGCTAGGTAGGTGGGTCACCATTAATTTCTGCTTAGGATATTAACATCCTTTATTCTCTGGTTAATTTTTAACTCATCCTCCTCTAACAGCTGTCCTGTCCCCAGGAGCAGACCACAGACAGACCCAGCACCAGGCCCCTGGCCAGCCAGTGATTCTTAGGCAGGGACATCACTGCCCCCTACCACTCCTGAATACTCCAGCCGCAGCACCAACCAGCTAGCCTGTCCTGTCCCCGGCTACAGGCCACAGACTGTCCCAGCGGCAGGACTCTGGCCTCCCAGTGATTCTGAGGCAGGGACATCACTGCTCACCTACCTTTCCTACAGACCCCTTCCCGTGTGCATCACCCGCTAGGTAAGTAGGTCACCATTACTTTCTGCTTTGATTTTAAGCTCCTTTATCCTCTTGTTTATTTCCTAATCTTCCTAATCTCACAGCCTGTCCTGTTTCTGGCTGCAGTCCACACACAGACCAAGTGACAGGCCGCAGGCCAGCCAGTGATTCTGAGACAGGTACATCACTGCCCAGTTACCTCTCCTGCAGTCCCCTCCTCATCGCCCACCAACTAGCCTGTCCTGTTCCGGGCTGCAGGCCACAGGCAGACCAAGTGGCACGCCTCTGGCCAGTCAGTGATTGTGAGGCAGGGACATCACTGCCCATCTACTTCTCCTGCAGACTCCAGAACCAGCGCCCACCCGCTAGGTAGGTAGGTCATCATTACTTTCTGCTTTGGATTTTAAGCTCCTTTACTTTCTTGTTAATTTCCTGGTCTTCCTCCTCTCACATCCAGTCCTGTCCCTGGCTCCAGGCCACAGATAGACCCAGCGGAAGGCCTATGGTCAGCCATTGATTCTGAGGCAGGGAAATCACTGCCCAAATACCTCTCCGCAGACCACTGCCCAAGCGCCCACCTGCTCTGTAGGTAGGTCACCATTACTTTCTACTTTGGATATTAAGCTCCTTTGTTCTCGTATTAATTTTCTGATCTTCCTCCTTTCACAGCCTGTCCTGTCACCGGCTGCATGCCACAGACAAACCCAGCAGCAGGCTTTTGGCCAGGCTGTGATTCTGAGGGAAGGACATCACTGCCCACCTACCACTCCTGCAGACCCTAGCCCCAGCACTCACCCACTTGCCTGTCCTGTTCCCAGTTGCAGGTCACAGACAGACCCTGCTGCAGACCTCTGGCCAGCCAGTGATTCTGAGGAATGGACATCACTTCCCACCTACCTGTCTTACAGAACCCAAACCAATGCCCACCTGCTAGATAGGTAATTCACCATTACTTTCTGCTTTGGATTTTAAGGTTTTTTATTCTCTTGTTAATTTCCTGTTCTTCCTCCTCTCACAGCCTGTGCTGTCCCCAGCTACAGGTCACAGAGAGAGAGACCCAGCGGCAGGCCTCTGGCCAGCCAGTTACTCTGAGGCAGGGACATCACTGCTACACTTTCTCTCCTGAAGACCCCAGACCCTCACCTACCCACTAGCCTGTCCTTTCCCCAGCTGCAAGCCACAGACATACCCAGCAGCAGGCCTCAAGTCAGCCAGTGATTCTGAGGAAGGGACATCACTACCCACCTACCTCTCCTGCAGACCCTATCCCCAGCGCACACACACTAGCCTGTCCTCTCCCCTGCTTCAGGCCCCAGACAGACACAGCAGCAGGCCTCTGGCCAGCCAGTGACTCTGAGGCAGTGACATCATTGCTCCCCTACTTCTCCTGAAGATCCCAACTAGCCTGTCCTGTTCCCAGTTGCAAGCCACAGACTGACCCAGCGGCGGTCCTCTGGTCTGGAAGTGATTCTGAGGCAGGGACATCACTGCCCACCTACCTCTTCTGCAGACAACAGACCCAGTGCCCACCCGCTAGCTAGGTAGGTCACCAGGATTTTCTTCTTTGGGTTTTTAGCTCCTTTTTTCTCTTGTTAATTTCCTGATCTTCCTTCTCTCACAGCCTGTCCTGGCGCTGCCTACAGGCCACAGACAGATCCAGTAGTAGACCTCTGGCCAGCCAGTGTTCCTGAGGCAGGCACATCACTGCCCACCTACCCTCCTGC